GGGCAACTGGGCTGGGGGCCCGGCTGCCTCCAGCCTGTGGGAGGGACTTGGGCCTGGGGTCTTGGAGCCTGCCGTCTCAGACATCCTCTCCATGGAGTGCCTGGGCACACACCTATGTCATCCAAGGATGAGGCAACACATTGCCAAGCAAATCCCCATTTTCTGGGTCTCAGTTTCCCCATCTGCTCTACCCGGAGAGGACATTGATAAGGCATGGGTGTTTATGTGCATGTAATTTGTAGCCGTTAAAAGCAAAGGTCTGGCTGCCTGCAGAGAGTAATATGTTTGCATCTTAAATGGGACTGAGTAGGAATTGAAAGCCAGAAGTGGTGCGAGATGTCACAATGCCGTTTGTGTAAATTAAATACTTGTACGCTGGACAATTCACAAACACACATGCGCTGAAACATGCTGAAGTTGCCACCTGCGGCTGGAGGATGCTGGCGGGGAAGGCGGGTACAGGGACCCCTTGAAGCAGGTGGGGGGGTGGGGTTTGGACCAGGCTCAGGCTTACCAGCAAGCCTTTACAGTTCCATAAACCCAATCTCCATTGCACTCGCAGGAAACAGGACTAGCTTGCCTGGGTCACACCATAAAGATGGAAGCTGACTTCCAGGTCAGGACAGCTGGCCACAGGACCAGAGCTGTTCCTGCCCTAGGGCATCCCTCCCATCCCCCTCCCCCCTGCCCTTCCCCTCCTGCTCTGCCAGGCTGGTGAATAACGCCACCAGCTCCGCAGCTCACACCTGTCTCTGTAGCATCTCAAGTTCCCTCAGGTGGGGTCCCCTGCTTAATCACTAACCATCCCCGAGTTGTGAAGGGCTGGGAGTATCATGTCCCAGTTTGCTCAGGTCAGATGGATGTAAACGGGTGGGTCTATGCTGGCCCCCATACCTTCTGCCCCCCACATCCCGTGTTCTGTCCACTGCCTCATGCTGCCTCCCTTTGCAAAAAGGGGGGTACTAAAAACAAACGACAGAAACCCCAAACACCTCAAATTACAAGTGAGCTCAGGAACAGAGAGCTGGGAGACCCCCAGAGTCGGAGGCTTGCGGCTTTGAGCCTTCACCTGACCGTGGGGCCCCCCATCGGCAGCCCAGGCGCCTCCTCCGCTCCTGTAACATGGCTCGTTCTCTTTCCGAGCCTGCAGCCTCTCACTGCTCCAGATGGGCCTCGCTCAGTCCCACTGCCTGGTCCCTGCTCAAACCACATCTCCAAGCTGCCACCTTCTCCCTTCTCCCAGCCCCTGTCGCCCAGTCTTGCTTGATCACAACCATCAGCTGGGTGCCTGCTAAAAATCGCCGGCACTGGGGCCTCAGCATCTCCAGGTGAGGCGCCTGGGAATCACGGCCTCGAGAACCCCCTTCAGGTGACTCCCCCCCCACACACACTCAGGCCAGTTGGCAGAATGCAGCAGCACATCCACCCCTCAGGCCCCCCACCCCCACCCCGGCCCCGGGTGTGTTTCCACGCGGCCCCAGTGAGGTCTCCTGGCTGTGAGCCTCTGCACTGGTGTCTCGACTCCCACATATGAGTGAGTCGGTGGACCCCTCTGAGCTTCTGTTTCCTCGCCTCAAAACTGGAGGGAAATATCTGTCCCAGAGGACACCATAGAATGTTTTACTGGCTGCAGGTTCACAATCCTTTCGGGAGATTTCCCATGTGCAAAGGGCAGGGGGAGACCCAAGAAAGAGGCAGCCCCCCTCCCCCAGGTTTGAGGGCAGCCATTCTAATAACACCAAAGGGAACTTACATCTGAGGCTTGTCTGGGGTCAGAGGGAGGGTGGCTCCTCCAAGGGCGCGGGGGCTCACTCACGGTCAACTGGTGGGCATGTCTTTTTTGATCATTTCCCCCAGCGCCTGCCCACGTTTCCCCGAAATCATTCTCTGAGAAAAAGTCACTGTGTGTGAGTGGGCGCTGCACCCACAGCACTGGGATGAAGAGAATAGGTGGCAGGGTAAGATGCCCACACAAGCACGGGCACGCGCGTGTGCGCACACACACACACATGCACGCGCACACACACACACATTCTTGGGCCTTTTTTACCTTCCTGATGTTGGAATCTTTGCTCCATAGCTGCTTCTGCTTCTCTGGGGTGCACCCACCTCCTCTGTGCACTTTGCCGCCAACCCTGCTGTTGCTGACCTTAGCCCTCTGTTCGCCAGTGTCTGTGACCTTCCTGCGTCCTCATGAAGCCCCTGGCTCCTGCCTGTTCAGGTGGGCTGGGCCTGGCTTTGCTGGCCCGGGAAGCTCCGGGGCAGAGGGGCCCTGTGCGGTGTCTGAGGTCTCACCCTCCTCAGGTCCACACGCAGCCCTGCCCCCGCCCTGCCTCACACCTGCTGTGTCACTTTGGACAATTCACTTAACCTCCGTGAGAGCCTGAGGGGCCCGGCCAGAGCAGGGCGGGAGACTGACCGTGAGGAGGGTCTTTATCCACACTTGGGCAGGATTAAACAGGCAAGAAGCTCTCAATTGCCAAGCCTCTCATTGCACCCGGTCTGATGAGCCAGAGGTGTAAGTGCTGGCTCCCACTGAGAGGGGACATTCTCCCGACTTTGCACACTGTGGTCGCAGAGAGGTCTTTCCAGAACACGAATCGATGGGTCCCTATGGCCTACAGCCTCATTCTAACTCGGTTTCCCAACCGTGGCAATACTGGCGTTAGGGGCTGTCCGGGGCATTACCCTTGGCCTCCACAACCCAAAATGTCTCCAGACATTGCCAGTGGGAACGGCTGCTCTGGACCAGGTAAGTGTGAGTCACTGGAGGTAGGGTGTGGGGTGGGGGAGGGGGGAGAGGTCTGCCGAATTTAGAGGCTGCCAGGTGTTCTGATCCAAGTCAGACCTGTGCGCTGTCCCCTGGGTACCGCCTTCCTGACAGTCTCTGACCCATGATCCAGGCCCCTCACGCCAGCCCAGAGCAGTCCCTCAATGTGACACTTAACCACCTCGGGTTTTCACTATTCACGCTCTGTGCCTTCGCAGCTGCCCTGCTCCAGGAGCTGGAGGAGAGGAAAGTTAGGACTCGGATTCGAGGGGGCGCCCGTCACCTTCCTCTCTGCCAGCTGATGCCCGGGAGTGAGCCTCCGTGGGATGCAGTGTGCTGCCCCTCCGGTTGGTCTGTTTTGTATTCTTGAACTTTGTGAGTAATTTATAGGATTTTCTAGGACAATTCCCTCTGTGACTTTGACCCCTTGACAAAGACTGTCTTACTCTGCTTGGGCTGCTGCCATAGGCTGGCCAGCTCACACCGTCACCGTCTGTTTCTCATGGCTCTAGAGGCTGGCGGTCTGGGAGCCTGGTGCCAGCGCGGTGGCGTTCTGGGGAGGGTCCTCTTCCTGGCCTGCCTGCGGCCACTTCTCATTGAACCTTCTTGTGGCAGAGAGGGCACTAGTCCCAGTCAGGAGGACCCCCCAGTTGCTACCCAACTTCCTCCCAAGGCCCCACCCCCTAACACCACCACACTGGAGATTAGGGTTTCAACATAGGAATCTGGGCTGGGGGTGGGGGTGGGGGGTGGGGACACAGACATTCAGCCCCAGCAACGATTTTTACTTGCTGACTGTGGATGCTTAACCCCCGTGTGGAGAGGTTCTTTTCTTTTCTTTTTTTTTTTTTTTTTTACTTTATTTTATTTTATTTTATTTTTTTTACAAATAGTTTATTGTCAAGAGAGGTTCTTTTCTGTATTTGGAAATTCCATTTGTAATTTCTTTCTTTCTTTTCTTTTTCTTTCTTTCTCTTTCTTTTCTTTCTTTATTTATTTTGAGAGAGACAGCATGAGTGTGGGGGGAGAACAGAGAGAGAAGGAAAGAGAGAGAGAACCCCAGGCAGGCTCCATGTTGCCAGCGCAGAGCAGAGCCTGACTCGGGGCTTGAACTCATGAAACTGAGAGATCATGACCTGAGGGGAAACCGAGAGTCGGACGCTTAACTGACTGAGCCACCAGGGAACACCCTCCATTTGTTATTTTATAACTGTTTCCTGCTTCCTTCATCCCATGCCTTTGCCTATGCTGTTCCCCATACAGGGCGCTGTTCCTGCCTTGGAGGCCCAGCTCAAGTATTTCACCTTCCTGCAGCTCCTCCCTGAGCGCCCCGCCCCCACGTTCCCTTGACACCCGACCTGCGGGTCCTGAGTCCCCTGTGTGGTCCTGTGTTTACCTCCATTCGCGACAGCCACCCCGCAGAGGGGCCTTTTTGCCTCTCTTTCTAGTTCCCACGTATCAAACACCAATCTAGGTGTTGCAATGAAGGCAGTTTGTAGATTTGACTGAACCCATAATGAATGGGCTTTAACCTCGATAACCTGGGTGGGCCTGAGTCAATCAGTGGAAGGCTTAGAGAATAGAAGTGGAGCTTTCCTTATGAAGAGGAAGCTCTCCTGGTGGATGGCAGAAGGTGGATGGTGGCCTCAGGGCGGGGCCTGGGAGATCCCACGTGGCCCACCTGGTGCCTGCCCCGCCCACGGCACACTCGCCTGCCCTGCCCACGGTACCCCTGCCTGCCCCGCCGGTCCATGGTATCCCAGCCTGCCTCGCCCTTGGTATACCAGCCTGCCCCCCCCCCCCTGCAAGTGCCTTGCAACAATTCTCTGTGTGTCTCCCCCTGGTTCTGATTCCCTGGCCGAGCACTGACAGGTCACCGTGTCCAGCTCCGGGTGCTCAGGGGCCTGGCACATAGTAGGCAGTTTGCTACTCAATGCATGCAAGGCGACAGGAGGGTGGGGAAGCATGTGGAGGCAGGGAGGGAAGTGGTCTGGTCACAGCCCTGGGGGTGGGGGAGAGCTCAGCCCAGTAAGCTCAAGGCTGTGGCCTGGAAGAAATGCAGGGTCCCCTCAGATCTCGGCCTGTCCCCCCATCCCCCTCCGGCAGCGCTGGGCAGCCTTCAGGCCTCCACGAAAACAACCTCCAGAGGAGAGGACTATCCTTCTCTGCCTCACCCCGGGGGGTATTCCGGATTGGGTCCCTATCACAGTCCTCACAACACCTGTCCCCCTTACAGCAGTTGCATATTTATTTGTGTGATCGTTTGTGCCTGGCTCCACCCCAGAGACGCTAGGACTGTGTTGTGGTTGCTCTTGGTGGTCTTCCTCCAGACACAGCACGGTGGGCATCAATCTTCACCTGTGGAAGGAAAGAAGGAGGAAATGAGCACGATACTTCCATGACCTGCCTTGAGGACAGGGATCCACGGGGGGGTGGGGGGGGAGGGGGAGAAGGACATGGCTTTGAGGCTTCTCTTGATGTTCCTGGGGTAGGGATGGGGTTAAGGTTTTTGGGGACTGTCCTATGGACCGGATGACACTGTAGGTCACAGGAACTTGGGGCTGGATGCAGACAGCTGCTGGCCTCATTCCCTAGACTCCCAGGGAAGGTGGGGTGGGGGCATGTCATGGGCAGTGGGGCAAGGGCCCCAGACTCGGGCTCCAGCCTCATCTTAGTCTAGGGCCTGCTGAGTCACTTGGGCCTCAGTTTCCTCCATCTGCCACACGAGGGGTTAGTGAGATCACCCATGAAGAATCTCCCATGGAAGAAGAAAAGTTCCATAAGGCTAGGAGGTCGAATCAGTTTCAAGGGTCCAAGTGAGCGTCTCAACCCAACCACAGAGTGCAAACCCGCTTCCTTCCTGTAAACAGGGTGGGGTGAGCAGGCCTACTTTCCTTGCTTCCCAGACTTCAGTCATTCAAGCTCTACCTTCGCAATTTTTATGGATCCATCTGTGTCTTGGACCAATATTTAATGGGCTTCTTTAAGTGGACTTTCTTTTTATAATTTTTTCCTCAATTCAATGATGTTTAGCACATGCACAGAGTTGTGCCACAATCACTACAGTTTTAGAGCGTTTCGTCTCCTCCCTCAAGGAACCTGGACCCATCATTGCTTTGTTTTGACTTAAATACGTGTCCTGGAAGAACACATTGAATCAGGGCCATAACTGGGAACCCAGTGTCACTTGCTGTCAGTAGAAGACAGCCATAAACATAAACCCCGGGAAAACGGACCCACGTGGTTAAGTTCTGGCTGAGGCCATGCTCACTGCCCGAGGTCTGCTGTCTCCCCGTGAAGGGACGTTCGCTGGTTTTAGGCAGGCGTTAAAGATACAGCAGTCCCAAATGGAGACTTTCTCTTTAAAGAAATCCAAGAGATTGAAGGAGATTGAAAAGGAAATTCCTCCCTCCACACGTGCACTGATGTTCTTTATCACCATGTTCTTGGATCCCACACCGTCCCTGACCGGGTCTCACATTTCGGGGAACACAGAGTTGGTACTTTTACATCCACAGTCTTCTCTGACCCTCACTACCACTCCATGGGGAAGGAACGACCATTCCCATTCTACAGATGAGAAAATGGAGGCTCGTTTCCATGATGTGTGAGTGGTACAGGAAGTTCTTAGTCCAGTGAGCTTTCTGTCCCCCCTAGCATTGCGCCCTCCCCTGCCCACCAGGACACGCATGGTCCCCCAGGCTCGGGGGGTAGTCAGCGGTGTCCTCACTGGGGATGGAAAGGCCTCACACCCTGTGGGGACCCAGGGGACAGAGCACCCCAAGGCCATTGAGCTGACATCTCTAAGCAGCTGCATCTTGAGGCTGGCTGTGGACCGTGACACCTTTTCTGTTTGCTCATTGTCACAGAAACCTAAAGTTCTAGAACTCGCCGATGACCTCAGGGGCATCGATGCCAGCGTCCCCTGGCCCCTTGGCTCATGAATCCCTTTCTGGGGTTGGTAATCATATAAGCCTCAGGACCATTTCCAGTTACTCTTCCTTTACACGTGGCCTACGATAATAAAGAAACTTTTAAGAAGAAAGAACATGAGTTTACATCACTGCATTCACTATAGGACTGTCAACTTAGTGTTTACGACATTTGAGAGTTCTGTACACTAGACATTCAGCTGTTACAGAAAGACCCATTTAGACATTTTCCTCTTTGATAAGTGATGTGAGCTGTTGGTTTTCTTAACGACAACAACTCTGTAGGAAAAGCAGGTATAAAAAAATGACAGTGGCAGTGGCGAGCTGTGACAGCGACCCCCAAGCCTGGGATTACTCACTGAGGGACAAGCAGGTCCCCGAGTTGGAGACATGACCAGTGAGAAGGCGCCGCGCCGCCCCCGGGGAGCTCTCCCCAGTGGTCTCCGTTCACTCTGCATCGACCCAGGCCTCCGGGTCACTGCCAGGTGACAAGAAAGAGGAAGCTGGGAGGTAAGGGAAGGACACTGTGAGGAAACAAACAGATGCTCTGCAGATAGCTGTTCTTTTAAAAAATGTGAGGAAAAGGTGAGAGGGTTGTTCTAGATAACAAAGTGATGGGACAAATAAAATACATGAACTTGACTGAGTCCAGGTTTAACCTAAAGTGCAATAAGGGACATTTTTGGTACCTTGGGAGAAATTCAAATATGGACAGGGTAGCAGTAAAAAAAAAAAAAAAATGTTTATTTATTTTTGAGAGGGGGGAGTGGCAGAGGGACACAGAGGGTCTGAAGAAGGCTCTGTGCTGACAGCAGAGAGCCCATTGCCGGGCTTGAACCCATGAACTGTGAGATCATGACCTGAGCCGAAGCCGGATGCTCAACTGACTGAGCTACCCAGGTGCCCCACTCTGGAACTATTTTTAATTTTCTTAGTGTGATTATACTATTGTGATTATGCAGCATGCTCACATTCTTAGGAAAAAATGCAGGGGGAAGAATTTAGGGACGGAGGGTCATGGTGTCTGCAACTTACTTTCAGATGGTTCAATATAAAAGCTTACACGGAGATGTAAGTGTGCATATGTGTGGACGCGCATGCACGAGACGATACAGATGGAGAAAGAGGAAGTGTCCAAACTTGACACTCCAGTTTAATCACTGTATTACCTTTTTCATTGATTGATGATCAAAGCATACCACCAATCTAGTACAACCTCCCATTTTACAGATGAGGAAACTGACGCCCCGTGAGGGGCTGGGGCTGGGTCAAGGTCACAGAGTAAGTTACTGCCCGAGCTGGAATTTGCTCCCAGGGTCTCCAGATGGCCAAGCCTTAAGTTTCATTCCTTCAGGCTCTTTGTCCTAAGCATTTGTCCTAGACATCTGCATGGCTTTGGGCTCTCTGATGCTCGTCCAAGCCCAGGGACTTCCACTTGACATTCTGCCCCAAAGCCAGCTGTAACCCACAGAAGCAGCGGAACAGAAACAGAGATAAAAGGCTTCAGGCCAGTCAGTAACTGAACCCAGAGGTGACAGCCAGGAGTGGCAACAAGGGAAGTGACGACAGAATTCAAATAACCTTGAACCCCAGGAATAGTTGCAAGGCCTGGGGATCCCAAGGGCATCTCTACACACTGGGGTTTTGTAGGACTACTATCCTGGGCAGCTGCAAATGGCCCATCTGGGAAGATGGGGTTCCTGTGGACTTTGAGGGCCGACTTTGCTGTGTGGACAGTGTGGTGGCTGTCGTACAGGCAAGTCTCATCTGACCAGTGAGAGGAGAGCTCCTGGAGAGCAGAGGCCACCCTGTCGCCACGTGTGGGCGCTGTCAGGAGGCAGCCCGTCAGCGTGGAGCCAGAGTGCTTGGCCAAAGCCAGGCTGCGCGGCTTACTTGCTGGGTGCCTTGGGGAAGCTTGCTTAACATCTCTGAGCCTGCGTGAGACGGGGATCGCAACAGAACCTACATCACAGATCGGTGGGAGGTTGCAAATGACACGAGCCGTGGCCCAGAGTCAGAAGCCCAATCTCTCTTGGGCAGAGCGAGTGCCGTGATTCTCCAGGGAAGAGAGTCCAGGCGGAGGAAGGGCAAGGGGGTGGCTCAGCGGCAAGGGTGGGCCTGCGGTGTCAGTGGAGCCTCAAGGAGGCCAGGGTGGCTGGAGCAGAGTGAGCAAGAGGCGGAGAAGCGGTAGCTGAGATCGCAGGGGTGGGGTGGCAAGTTAGTGTCGTTTCTTTTCACAGTGTTTCCATTACTTTTGTGCTTTGCCTCTTTTTATGGAAAGATACTGGCTTCCTGTTTGTTGCTGATACAAAGTAACCCTCTCAAATAATACATTGCGAGCAAAAAAATCAATTTATGGAAACACAAGGGGAATAGAATACAGTCTGAAATCACAGAAGCCACGGACTGTCCTGGGAAGACTATTCAGGGAAGGAGAAGGCGGCTCTCCCTCACCCGTCTTGCTCAGCGGGGCAGGCCGGTGTGGACCTGGAGCCTTGGATATCACAACTGGAACCCAGAACCTGACTCCTATCTCCCAGCTTTCCAGCTGCAAGGCCCCAGATCCCTTCACCTACCTGCCCCTCATGGTACAGATGGGGACACTGAGGCCCAGGGAGTCAGAGAGATGCGTTAACAGTGTGTGGGGAAGAACTGGTCCCAGAGTCTGTCTGACTCAGCGCCCCGCCTGCCCCACCCCCAATCCAGGGATTCTGACACACACTCCCCCAGAGATCTTTCGGGAGGTTGAGTCTGAAGGCCACTCCTTCCTGAGCTCTGAGGCTCCCTTCTGTGACTCACCCCACAGCCCCACATGGACAAGCTCCCCGTGTGCCCACCATGGACTGGAGGATGGCGGACAGGGAGGGTAGAAGGGTGGATGGGGGCCGGGGTCTGTTCCTGGGTGGGTAGCACCTGGCCGTGCTCTGGTCCAGCTGAGGAGCTGAAGTGTTACGGGGGAGGGGTGGCGCCCGGAGGTCCCTCCTGTGCGTCCAGGGATGGGGGCCGCCTCGACCTCGGCCACCAGCACGGGGCAGGTGTTTCCACCAATAGCACCGTTTGCCCCTTTCTGGCAACTGCCTCCTCGGAACTGTGCAGGGAGAAGGGACTTGGTGGGGTGAATCCTGACAGTTTGGGGAAGCCCAGGACCTCCTCACCTCTGCTTTGGCTTGTCTGACATGGCACCCAGAGTCACGTCCTGGTAGGATGGTGGAGGACTCATCGATGGCCCCCTGAACCCCAACGATGTGTCCGGAACAAGGGACAAGTCATCTTCCTGCAAGAGAAGCCGCCGTCCCTGCTGCTGACATTCGTGGAGTGAGTGGCCACCACAAAGCCCTTACCCACGGGAAGTCTCGAGGTTCCCGCAAAGATAGGGAAACTGAGCTCGAGAGATGGAGGGACTTTCAGAAGGCCAGTGTGTGCCTCTCTCCCCCTCCCTGTTCTCGAGGAGGGGGCCGGGCCAGCTGATTTGCCAGGGTCCCTCCTGGCCAGAACACATCCCAGGGGCTGTGCTGACAGTGTCCCCGGTGACTGCTGCCCTGTCCCCACCACTTGTTTGTGACGATGGTCCTGCCAAGCCTGTGCCTGGTACCGTTATCTCAGGCAGAGGAGGGCATGGAGGTGTTTGAGGGAGGCTCGGCTTGGCCACTCACTGCTTGTGCGACAGTGGGGAGTCACTTAACCCTGCTGGGCCTCATTCTTCCTCTTCAACATGGGAGAGTAGAATTAGTGATAATTTGTTGCCACGGTGATGGGCAACGCAGCGTTCAGTACAGCGCCCGGCACTCGCAGATGCTGGTATCTGGGAGCAGTTACTGTGGATTCCGCAGCCGCGGAGGGGCCTCAACGTTGGTCTCAGGGACTCCAGGCCCCTCTGGCTCTCTGACGTCTTAACGAAAAGATTTCCTGCCAGACAACTGGGCAGTAACTAGGACAACCAGCGTGGGGCCCGATAAAGCTCAGGGCCACATACTGCTATCTGTGCCCGGTGAAAACCCCATAAGCGGATGGCACACATGTGGAAAGATCGGAGCCTTGAACTCGCAGGATGGCGGGGATCGTGTGCTTTTAGTGTTCGAAAGTTCAGATTACAGTGCGAACTTTTTTCCTTTAAAGAAATGAACCTAGAAAAATCACTTCTGGTCAGGGACAGGGTCACTGGCGTGGGGAGAAGCTAGTCTGTTCCAGAATGTATCTGGGCCCAGGCTGCCGTTCTGCTGACCCCCAGGTGGGCGAGGGCTTGGCTGTGGGGTGGACCCACCTCGGACTGAATCCTGGATGTCCTTATGAGCTGATTGACTTTAGGAAGTGAAGGAACCTCTCTAGGCCTCAGTTTATTTATCTTTAGAATGGGAAGGTAAGTACCTACTTCCAAGGGCTGTTGAGAAGATTAAGCTAAATCAAGTTATGGGTTTTTTGGTTGCTTTTTTTTAAGCTTCAAGTTATGTTTTTCTAAAGTGCTCAACAGCAGAAGTGCCTGTAGCCTGAAATGCTCAGTCTTGTAGAACTCCCGCCCCCCCGGCTTACTCCCTCCACAGCCAAACCCCAGAACGTGCTATAGCTCTCCTGGCCTTCCCTGTCCTGGCCCCAAGCCAGTGTCCGTGACATTGTCTCTGCTGGAGGTCCCTTCTTGCACCCTGCCTGCAAGTCGGAATCCTGCCGGCTCAGGCCATCTCCCTGTGACAGCTCCATGGCCCGCAGGCCTTTTCTCCTTGGTGACTCTGCAATTTTCACCTCGAATGGTCTTGTTCCCCGCTGCCTTGTCTCCCTGGCTGGATTGTGGCCTCACCTCTGTCTGTGGCCCCACTGAGCACGTGCTCAGCCACACCCCTCCCTGCCCCACCCCCCCAGCCTCATGTCCCCACCTGTCTCTGGAGGGCTTGCGGTCCCCCAGGGCCTCACCTCTGCAGACCGGTGGCCCTCCCTGCAGACTGTGATGGCTGTGGAGCTCAGCAGGAAGAATTCCAGGAAGGTGAAACAGAGCAGAGCTAGCTCCAGCCTCTGGATGTAGACCTGGAGGGGGTGGGGAAGGGAGGAAGACAGGGAGGGGCCTCTGGGTATCTGCGCCCCTTGTGCGGGCGCAGGTGTGTCAGACCCAGCCAACAGGGGGCAGCAAAGAGCTTCAGCTGCCAGGTGTGCCTGGGGAGGGCCTGGTGGGGCTCTGCGGGGCTGGGACTGGGCACCTCTTAGTCGATGTTCTACGCCCACCTCCTGGCACCCATGGGTCCTCGGTGAGTACTTGCCAGATGTTGAAGGGCTGGAGAATCTTGTGGGTTCTCTGGTGGAACTGCAGGTGGCCTTCAGGGCCATCTCATAGTGTCCCCCACTTAGATGGGGACACTGAGGCTCAGAGAGAAGGAGCGTTTTTTTATTGCTGGGGAGGAGCTGGGCTTAGGACCACATCTCATAGAGCATGAGCATTTGGACAGTGTGTGTGTGTGTGTGTGTGTGTGTGTGTATGTGTAGGCCTGCCGGTGTACCTGCACATGTGTGTGCATGGGGGAGCTCAATAAGGAATAGCCAACCACCATCTTCACGAACCTGGCCCAGAGGCCAGCAGCCACCACGTGGGGTGTCTGGCCCACCTCTGCTTCAGGGGCCCCACGCTGCGCTGAAAGGGCCCTGGGCTCAGAGTTGTAGGCCTGGTTTTGAATCCTCACTGCACCCCTGATACTTGCTGTGTGGCCTTGGTCTACTAATTTAGCCTCTCTGGACCTCAGTGTTCACTCCCCTAAAATGGGGTAATGAAGTAGACTCGGCCTGTTCTGCAAGGCTGCTGTGAGGCTCCCCCATAGTGGGGTCACCGGGGCTGTGCTATTTATAGAGCCTTGACCAGGGAACTGGCCGTTCTAGAACGTGGTCCTGAATTTGCTGCCTACCTGCTGCTCAACCTCACATGGGTCCCTCTCCCCTCTGGGCCTCGGTTGCTCTATCTGAAAAGTGGGCTTGGACTCAGGGACCCGAGGCCTCACGTGGCTCCCTGATGCTGACCAGTGAGAAGCCGGCACCCCTCTTTGCACCCGGCCTTGGGAGGGCCAGGGTGGGGACGGACTGGCTGAGGGCTTCAGCTGCAGTGCCTGGGCTCAGGAAGGTTTCCCAAGAGCCAGACACCTCCTCCTGGCCAAGCCCAAGGCAGCACCCCCGGGGACACAGGGGGCCCTCGGGAACGGGGCACTCACTGTGCTGTTGGGGTACGGTGTCCAGATCGGGAAATCAAATGGACTCTCCAGGAAGAGGTCTTTGGCGATGACAAAGAGGCCCGCCAGCACGCAGAAGAAGCTGACGCCGTGGGCCGTCAGGCAAAGTATCTTCTACAAGCAAAAGTCACAACCAATGTCCAAAAGTTAGAGTCCCAGATCTGGACTGTGTCGAGGCCTGCCAGGCGCTTGCTCTGTGGCCTCAGGAAAGACTCTGCCTGTTTCTGGACCTGAGGCTTCTCATTTAAACATGACTTTCTGAGACAGCTGACCACGAGGGGGCCCCAGGTGGCGTTCACCTTCTGCAGGACAGGACTGGGGGACCCCGTCCACAGATGTTGTGCTGAAGAAGGATGTTCCCAGCACTGTCTCCCTCTCTCAGAGCCGGTCTTCATCATCCTGGCATCACATATGTCGCCTGGTCAGGGACTGGACGTCCAAATGGCCCCTCACCCAACCCCCTCTCCATAGGCTAGAGCATGAGGAGCCCCGGAGGTGCCCTGTGCTCACTCACTCTGGGTCTGCCTCCTTCCCCACCTGTCACGGTCCCTGAAATGCCCCCATTCATCACCGTCTTGGGTGATTCCAAGAGCCTCCGATCAAGAACAAACCCTGGTGATGGACAGAGTGTGAACACAGGGAAACTCCAACCTGTCCCACAATGGGCGTCCCTGCCATGGAGCCTCCCTACGCTCAGGCGTAGGAAGGGGGAGGCTTCCGGCTCCGAAAGGGGCTCAGCCCTGGAGGAATGGCGGGCCTTTGCCACGCATCCCCTGTCCCTGCGGGCAAATGGCACCACACCGCCCTGTGCTCTCTGCCTCCAGAGAAGGCAGGGCGTAGCCACAGCCCAGCCCAGCCTGAGGCTCTAAGGTGGGCGTGGCCCCAGGGCTTGTGGGGCAGAGGGTGGAGGCCATGAGGTAGGAGGGGGTAGGGATGGTCCGTCTGTCACCAACGTCAGTCCACTTGGCCAGTCTCGCATCGGTGTGTCTACTCTGGGCACCCCCGGGGCGCCCCGGGCTGTGCTAAGAAGGTGCTCAGACGCCCACTGCCCCCACAGCTTAGTGTACCGGAGAGAGATGCGGGGACGGGTCAGTCCATCAAGCTGTGGGGACGCAGAGGGCAGCCATAGCAGGTCGGGGACGACTACCAGGAGGATGGGGCGCGGATGCTGAGTTTTGAGGAACGATCAGGGGTAAGTCAAGGCGGGACGAGAATGCGCAGCGGGAGCGGGCGAGGTTCTCCGCGGAAAGCACAGAGCAGAGGAGGACCGAGCCGTGTCTGGCCTGTCGTGTCTCTGGGAGGTGAGAAGCAGGTGGAAAGCGGCCCAGGGCCTGCCGGCCACACGGACTTGCTCATACGGGAGGCCAGCGGGGGCAGCCGGGCGCCGAGGAGGGGAGGGATCAGACTTGCACTGCGGACACTGGCTTGGGCAGACACGAGGCCAGACAGGCCGGACATGAGGACGGAACTGGGGCGGAGGAAGGGCAGTGGGGGAGGGGCAGGCCTCGGGGACCCTCGTGCGTGCTCCCAGCACATCCCGGAGAACGGCCTCCTGAGTCTGTACCACACACGGACGCCCTTGGCAAAGCTGGGCGGGGCCTGGCACGGGAGGGAGTGACTTCAGCGCTCCCACTTACCAGATAAGTCTTCGAAACCATCTCCATCGTGATCACCAAGATCCCTGAAATGAGGAACTGCAGGCCAGATTTGAAACAGTCACAAGAGAGGTCGGGCTTCCCCGAAACCCACAGATTCGCTCTCTTCTGGCTACTCTCTGAGAAAGCCGAGCTCTGGTGGCTGGCTGGTGGCCGAGACGAAGGAGCTCCCCCTGGCCGCCATGTGGCCCCTCCCGGGGCTGCTCTGGCCATGCTGGTCTTCCGTGTGCACTCAAGGCCCCACACTTGGGATGCAGCTGTGCCCAGTGCCCAGATGTACCCCCCCCCCGGCGCCTCCCAAGGCCCCCAGTTTTCTGGCCCCAACCGTTCCTCTGGGATCAGCTGTGCTATCCACCCTGACCCTTTCTCCTTTCCCGAATCCTGCGGTGTGGAAGTTCTCAGCTCTTCATTCTGAGGTCCCTGGTCGCCTTCTGCAAGTATTCCTTCAACACTTTGCTGAGTGCCTACTGTGTGCCAGTCGCTGGGACCACAGGGAGGAATCGGCGCTGCGTGGGGAGACGGTCCCATCGCCGAGCGCTGAACGCTCAGAGCCGGGGACAGTGGACCGACGTGACAGTCGGGGGTCAGGACGCCTGGCCGAGAGGGCTCCGTGGTGCTGGGACTCAGCCTGTGTGCAGGGCTCCTGGGGGCCCAGGGGTGGGGAGGATGCTGTGGGGAGCTTCCGGGACCCAGCGTGTGCCCGTCTTCCCTCATCTCCCATTCTGGCCGCTGGCCTTGGGAGGACATGAGCCGCGCCATCCACACTCTCACACCCTGACAGAGCCGTGGGCACCAGGGATGGTCGCTGGGTCCACAGGCAGCCTGGCTGCCCGGAAGCCCGGGGAAGGCGCCCCCTGCTCATGCTCGCCCTCCCCTTGCTGGATGCACGTGTTGGGTTAGGGGAGTCTGCAGAGAGCCTGGGGGTGCTCCCCTGAGATGCAGGCCTGACGGGGCCTCCAGGGAGGGACTGAGAGAACAGAAGCAGAGGCAGGGAGCCTGGAGAAAGGAGCTGGCAGCTGCTTCCCTCCTAGTAGCTCATTCTGACCCACCCTACATCCGGTCCCAAAGGCCAGGGTCTCCCCAGGCCTGCCCGCAGACCCCGCATCCAGCCCATGTTTTGGCACCTACTTACAGGGGCAGCCCCCCAGAATGGGTACCAAGACTTCAGCACCACCAGGTGAAGACTCTCGACAGCAGTCACCAAGTAACTCCCAAAGAACACGTGCAGCAGGGCGTTGACAACATGGAGGGCCTGGGGGGCAGGAGGGAACAGGGAGCCACCATTGGGGCACCTGTCGGTGACCTGCGCCAGCTAGTGGATCCCAGTCTGCTTCCCACCTTCTAAGGGATCCTGGTGGGTCTACGGGGAAGGACTGGCTCCTCGGAAAGGCAGCCGGGAATCAAGTAATTGTCCCTCCGGGGGTGGGGTGCGGGATGGGGAGGGAAGAGAAGGGAAGCGGGAGAGACTTCTGTTGATGACTTCCTGTGAGTGACACTGAGCCAGTGTTGGTGCGGGTGTAGACAGGTGTAGACAGCCTCTCCCACCCCTCGGGAGGGTTTTCAATTCGAGCAGGGCAGCTGGAGGCTCTCTCATCTCCCTCCCTCCTCCAGGCTCCCCAGTGTCCTCCTCCCCCACCCCCAGGGCCCCAGGAAGTGGGTACTCACGCCCAGCTCCTTGAGAAGGCTGCTCCTCTTCCTGGGCTCCTGGTGCCAGTTGGGAGGCAGGAAGCCGGGTGGGCTCAGCTGCTGGGGCAGGTATCTCTGGACCGGCTGGGCTGGGCTGAGGGCCTGCTGCGGCGGGACCCCCCTCAATTCCGGTCTGGGAATCCTGCTGGCTGATCCGTAGGCTTCTGCGTCCAGGACTTGGGCCAACGACCTTGGCTGCAGACGACAGAGGGAGGCTGGGTCAGAACCGATCTCATTTCTGAGGCTTATGTCTGGTGCGAGTCAGTGACTGTCACCTCTGCTCTCTGAGCCAGGGCCTTACAGAACAGTCTGCCCTGCTCAGTAACCCCTGAGCTTGGTTTGGCCTAGGACAGCCTGGCTTCTGGGGACGGGGAGGCATGGCCACTTATAGCCCCTGTGGCATTGCAGGGTCACCGCTCCTTCTGGGGTAGAAGAAAGGGTCAAACATGCCAGCCATCGTGACACAGAAGACCCCCGAACTGGCAATGATGGTTCCTCCTGACGGGAAAGAGGATGGAGGGGAAGTCTCTGCCGAGAACCTTCCATAAGCCAACACTGAGCCAGGAAGTCAATATTTAACAATGAGTCAACATTGACAAACATTTTGTCTATTCTTGGCATTGGGTAAGCATTTTACATGCATTAACTGGGGGTAAATTCTGTGCTTGCTTCCATTTTGCAGACAGGCTCGGAGAGGTTAAGCCACTTGCCCAAGGTCACACAGTCAGGAAATGACTGGCCTCTGCAGACTGGCTCCCAAGTGTGTGGGCTTAACTCCTTCATGCACTGTTGTCTCAGGGAGCAAAAGGAAATGTCCTGGATGTTTTAACAGGCATGAGAAAGAGGCTGAGAGAAAACCTTGCAGGGGACTGAAAGCACCACTTGCTGAGGGGCTGAGGGGCCTGGTCACCATGCTGGTGATGGATGCTGGGGTGCATAGGGCTTGGGGGCTGCCTGGTGTCTCGGTGAGAAAGGCTGGTCTTTCTCAGGAGAACGAGAGTGAGGTGGGGTTGGGAGGGGAGGGGAGTCTGTTTATGGAAATCAAGGCAGGAGATGGTTCTCCTCAGGGATGGGGCTCAGGAGCAGCGTAAGTGTGCTGTTCTTACTCTTTCTGGTACAAAGAAAGGGGTGCATTCCCTTCCATTTTAATTCTCAATTTTAATTCCAGCTGCATGAGCTCAGAGATCCTGTTTGAGCACCCCCATTTTTTAAATGTTTATTTTTGAGACAGAGAAAGACAGCATGAGGGGGGCGGGCAGAGAGAGAGGGAGACACAGAATCTGAAGCAGGCTCCAAGCTCCGGAGTGTCAGCACAGAGTCCGATGAGGGGCTTGAACTCATGAACTGTGAGATCATGACCTGGGCTGAAGTCGGATGCCCAACCGACTGAGCCACTCAGGCGCCCCATGAGCACCCCCATGTTTGCAGTCTTCCTGCCGTGGGGGTGGGGAAAGCAGGAGGTGGAAAGAGCTTTGGGGAGCCTGGGAAGGACAAGTGTCCTGGATCGCTCAGTTCCAGACAGGGAGGAAAGAGAAGGACAGTGTCCAAGGGCCAAAGGGCCAGACAGGACCCCAGGGTTGGGGAGCACTGGCTCTGTGCTAGGCTGACAGCTAGGCTCTGTGACTAGTCCCTCAGTCCCTGGGAAGTCGGCTCCGTTCTGTAAACGAAGAAATGGAATCTCAGGGATGTCCAAGGCCTTGGCCGGAGTCACGCAGCAAGAAAGCGCCTGAGATTTGGGACTGTGTGTGGTCCGACACCACTGTTCAGCCCGGGCTGGGCCCTCTGACAAATGTCTCCATTGGCCGGGAGTTACGGTCCCGAATTAGCGGGGAGGGTGGGGGTGGGGTGTTTCCAGCAGCTGAGCCCAGAGACACACTGATGCATGACACTTTTGGGGGGGCCTGGCCCACCTACACTTGGGAATTTGTTCTCTCGTTTCCGGGCATTTCCTGCAGGGTCCCTCTGACATAGTCGGCTGGATCGGTGGGGGGGGGGGGGCGGGGGGGCGGCGCAGCTGGTGGCAGAGACCTATCCAGTTAGCCACGGGTCGCAACTAGACTTCTCTGGTTCACTGGGGAAGACGGAGCTCGGATCTGAGCCTGGACACGACTGAGGAGCACGGAAGAAGGGAAACTTGTTGGCAGAGGGGTCTTGGCCGGACCAGGTTGTCCGGGGAGATCATGGGAACTCAGTCCCTGGAGATGGGCCTCATACCTGGGCTCTCGCTTTCCAGAATGTGGCCGCAGGATGGGTTCAGATATGCCCTCAGGGGTTGTGTTTGAGAAGGGTATCCCTTCTCAGAGCGTATTCCATGGACCATGGATCCTGACGGATAAGGAGCCGAAGGGATATTATGGGAAATCCTGGATGCCAACTTCGCCCTCTTTGGCATAGCGATGGCCCTGAGAATTCTTGCCAGGGAGCATCTATTTTAACGCTAAGGGCATTCCCCACACTGAATTGGTTGTGGCAGCTTTTTTCTCATAGTCCGTCGACTCTGCAGTTGTTCTGTGGGCAACGCTTTTGGGCAAAGTGGCCTTAAACAAGCAAACATTTGGTTTCTAGGGGTTTTTGGCCTTCTTTGCCCTCCTTTGGCCTTCTGTGCACATCGTGTGTGGTGGGGGTGGGGGTTGGACCGCCATCTCTAGGCATCACTTCCAACTTCAAAGGACTCTCCCATGGGACGGGGGCCGCTGCAGGATAGCCTGCCACCAGGAGGGAGGGGTGCTGAGGGCGGGACTTGGGGAACCAGAGGGACTGTCTGCTGTGAGCTTCCCCCTTTCCAAGCAGGGCATGGACTACGAGCCCTTAGAGGGCTTGCACGCTATGGCCCCCCACCCCTCCTCACCCCTGTCCCGCTCCTCCAGGACCTGGTACAGAGCTGCTTGGGTGGAGATGGGCTGACTGTGGTGGGGGTGGGGGGCAGCCAGAGACCCAAGGGGCAATGGCCTTGGCTCCTCCCCTGTCCTGCAGGCAGCTGAGGCCCAGCCAGCCCGGCGTCTCCAGGGAAACCAGCCAGGGCCCAGGTTCCCTTTGTTCCTTCAGTTCCTGGAGGGCAGGGCCGACAAGGGCCAAGGTCCCCCCACCCCCCAGCAGAGTGGACCCCATCATGACCGCTGGACAGGGGCAAGTCTGGGTCAGATCCTGGCCCTGTTCCCGGGAGCCTGGACCTTGGGCGGGTTGATGACATCTCACTCATCTCACTATCTCCTTGTCACAGGCACTGGGGTGGGGTGCCAGTGCCTCTCCTGGGCCTGGGGGGTGGGGTGTTGTAAGGATTAAAAGGGGTAACGTCTGCAATGTAGCAACACTCAGTAAACGTCAGCCTGACACATGCCTGCAGTCTCACCACCCAGGCTCCACTTGGTCCCCGTCCATTTCTCTGTGGAGACTTGACCCATCTTGTCCTCATGCTGGGGCTTGGTCACGGGGCAGGGGCGTGAGAGCTCCTGGGGTAGGGGGAAGGTGTGGCGAGGGAAGAAGAGTACTTCCGGGTGGACTGAACTGGTGGTCTCAGATTCATCCGTGGAGTGTGAGCTGAACACCACAGGGACCGAGGAACCGTGGGTGAGAGCTGACCACAGGAGGTCTGTGGTGGAGCAGACAGAAACCCGCGGCCCCAATCAGTCTGTGCTGGGGAGGCCTGGAGGACAGGGGTGTGTGTGAGGCATGTGTGTGTGTATGTGTGCGCATATACATGTGTGCGCATGGGTGTATATGTGCCCATGTGCATGTGCGAACACGTGGGTATATGTGTGGGTACACATGTATATATGCACGTGAGCATGCATATGTGCATGTGTTCATGTGTGTGCACGTGCATGTTTGCGCATGCATGTGTGCACACATGTATATGTGTGAGCATGTGTGTGCACATGTGCATATGCGTGCCAGAATATGTGTGGGCACGTGTGTATGTGTGTGCATGCCCCGTGTGCACATGTGTGCGTGTGTACATGCATGCACATGCATGTGTGCATATGTGCACACGTGTATATGCGTGCATGTGCGCACATGTGCATATAGGAGTGCATTCATATGTGTATGCACCCAAACACACACATGTGCATGTGTATGCACATGCATATGTGTGTGCACATATGTGTATGTGCATGTGTGTATATGTGTGCATGTAGGTGCTTGGGCATGTGTGTATTTGTGTGCAGGCACCCATGTGCACATGTGTATATTATCCATATGTGTGTATGCACATGTGCATATGTGAGAGTGTGTATATGTGCGCACACATGTGTATGTGCACACGTGTATTTGGGTGCACACACTCTGTGCACATGCGTATGTTTGTGCATGCGTGTATATGTATGCATATGTGTGTATGCATGTGCACGCATATGTGTGCATATGCGTATATGTGAACATGTATATGTGTGCATGTGTGTGGGCACGTGTGTGTTTGTGTGCAGGCACCTGTATGCACATTCGTATGTGTGTGCATGTGTGTATATACATGCGTGTGTGCGCGCGCACATGTGTCAAGCAGAGAAAGGCAGGAGTTGAGAGATACTGAGTCACGCCGTGTGACAGAGGGGCCTGTGGGCGTCTGGGGGCCGTCGGTAGAGGGTCGGATTTCGTGGCTGTGGTTAGAAAGCAGCTGTGGGTGAGCCAGAGCCGTGTCCCCTAGTGCTTCAGGACAGCGTGCTGGAGTACGGGGGGCGGGGAGGGGGCGCCAGCAAGGCGCCCAGGGGCCAGCAGGAAATGGAGGCCCGGATTCTCATACTGGCCCTGCCTGCTCTGGGGCCAGTCCTTTCCCTTCTTTGGGGCTCGGTTTTCTCCTCAGTGTGTGTGTGTGTGTGTGTGTGTGTGTGTGTGTGTGTGTGTGTACACACACTGTGTGGGTTTCTGGGATTGGAACGGAAATGGCTGCGGCCCCTCCCAGCCCTGATGGTCAGTGATTGGAGGCAAATGGGTTCTAGGCAGTGAGTCCCCCCTTGGGGTGGATGTTGTTGCTGCCCTTGCTTCCCATTTACTGGGGGGTGGGGCACTCATTGCCAACTGTTATAATAGCTGGTGCTAAAGGCTCCTAACTGCTCTCCCAAACTGCAGCCAATGACGGACCGGCATGGGGGCGGTATGAGAGGACAGCCCCCGTGCCTCAGGGTGGGACTAAGCCTGTGCTCCCTGACACGGGATCAGGCTGAAGCTAGCGGTCAGCTGAAACCACATCTGTCCTTGGGTTGCTTCACCTGCCCGTCTGGCTTTTTGCTCTTCTCCGGAGAGCACTCCCTCATAAACCAGCCACACAAAATCCTTGTCTCAGGCTCTGCTTTTATAGCATCTGACTGAAGACACTCCCCTCCTTATCCCTGCTGTGGGGGACCACTCACCTGGCCCTGGGACCTCCACTCGAAGCTTCCGGCCATGCCTTGCTCTCTGGATCCACCTGAGCCCCACGGAGATGGCAACAGAAGATCACAACATCTTTATAACATTAGACCTTGGATCTTTTCCCTCCCGGCCCCGCCTTCTGCTTCACGCCCAGCAGTTACGAGCCATCAACATCTTCCCCATTCCACAACCCAGGCAGATAGGAATCTTTGCACCCTCTTTACAGCTGCAAATCAAACACTGACAACATAATGGTTACAGTGTGGGACAGATGGGGTAAAGAAGATTGTAAGTCTTCATAGAGTCATGGTGGAGCCTTTAAAAATATCTTTCTGGGGGCCTGGGGGGCTCAGTCGGTTAAGTGTCTGACTCTTGATTTCAGCTCAGGTCATGATCTCATGGTTCCTGGGTTCGAGCCCCCGACTGGGCCGTGTACTGACAGTGTGGAATCTGCTTGGGATTCTTTCTCTCCCTCTCTCTGCCCTCCCCCCCCCCCCAAATAAACATGGCTGACCTTGGCCATCTTCCCCCACCTCCGTGGGGAAGCAATATCCCAGCATCCCACAGCTGTATTTGTAAACAGGGTTGTATCTATCTCTAAAAGATAAGGACTCTTTAAAAAGACTGATCCCAGGGCATGTGGGTGGCTCAGCCGGCTAAGCGTCCAACTTTGAACTTCAGCTCAGATCATGATCTCATCATTCATGGGTTTGAGCCTCGCGTCAGGCTCTGTGCTGACAGCTCAGAGCCTGGAGCCTGCTTCGGATTCTGTGTCTCCCTCTCTCTGCCCCTCCCCAGCTCACACTCTGTCTCTCTCTCTCTTTCTCAAAAAACAAAAAAGAAAACATTAAAAATTTTTTTTAAAAGACTCTGATCCCAGGCCACAACTAAACCATGAAGGCGTGTGAGGTTTTGGGGCCCACTGGGGGGCCCTGAGGCTCAGCGCGGTGACCCTGCACAGCCCTGGGCAGTAAGTACGGTTTTGCAATGACTTCCGTGTGGCACAAAGAGCGCCTCTCGCCCGGCCTTTGCTGCCTACTGGGCGTCAAACTTCTGGTCAGCGTTCAGGTTATTCCCACCATCTCAGGAACATCTTGGTACCTCTGACGTGTGTGACCCGGGACCCAGGCCACAAACCGTATCAGTCAGTCCGGTGGAGCCCCGCAGCCTGTCCCGGCTCTGCCCCCTGAGCGTGGCACCAGGCTCTTGGGGTGTCCGGGGCCTGAGCTGGTTTTGGTAGCTCCCACCCTGGGCTCCTTCCCCGTCTGGCTCCTTCCACGTTGCCATGCCGACGGCGACTAGGAAAGCCTGATGCACCTATTCCAGACGGCCACCCACGCCCATGTCAGCTTGGTGAGCACATGGCACACCACTCAGAGCCGACTCTGAGTCCAGGCTGCGTGAGTTCAAACCTTGATTCTGCCACTTGGCAGCCATGAGAACTAGGGTGAATTATTTGACCTCTGTGGGCTTCAGTTTTTCCCTCTGCAAAGCAGGAATAACAACGCCTCTGGAAGGAGTTGCTAGAAGATTCAATGAGTTAGAATATGAAAATGCTAGGGTGCCTGGGTGGCTCAGCCAGTTAAGTGTCTGACTTTGGCTCAGGTCATGGTCTCATGGTTCTGGGTTTGAGCCCTGTGTCTGTCAGCACAAAGCCTGGAGCCTGCTTCCGATTCTGTGTCTCCCTCTCTCTCTGCCCCTCCCCTGCTTGCTCTCTGTCTCTCTCTCTTTCTCAAAAATAATAAACATTAAAAAATTTTTTAAAAAGAATATTAAAGTGTTTACGGCAGTACCTGGCCTGTGTCAGGTGCTGTGTATGAGTTTTAGAGTCACCGTGCACTCCCAGGGGACCCTCACGCCCAGCTGTCACACCCACTGCAAGGTCACTCACCTCTCAGACCTGCTGGACTGGACAGCCCTTCTGTGGGCAGTGAGGCCGGGCCACCAGCAGCTCTGGAAGGTTCATTTCTCCTGGTGGGACCCCCCCCACCCCCCCACCCTTCCGTCTCCAGGCTGATTCATGCCCAGCGACGTCCTGCTTTGCAGCGATTTGCCGCCCGCACCTTTAGTTCCTTAATCGTGGGATGGATATTCTTCTGGAAGCTGTGGTTTTTCACTGGGTTAGAGGCTTCTGCTTCACCACGCAGTCACATACAACCGTGACACACACGTACACGTGTGCACGTGCCCCACCCTGCACCCTGGTGCCTTAACCGACTCACTCACTCACAGGAGCTTTAAGGAACGCTTAGGATGGGCTGGCCACGCTGCTGTGGGCTGGAAGCCATGGGCTGGGGAGGGGAGTCTGCCCTGCCCACGAGGAGCTCGGAGGCCGGATAAGGGGCCCCCAGCAATGTGCACATCCGAATCCTGGAACCAGTGACTTGATTACCTTCTACAGTCAAAGGACTTTGCAGAACCATCGTGTGAAGGATCCTGAGAAGAGGAGATCACCCTGGCCTAGCGGGTGGACCCCATATAATCACAGGTCCCTCCATGAGGGAGGCAGGAGGAGCTGAGTCGGTGAGAGCGACTGGAAGGGGCTGGGCCACTGGCTTTGAGGATGGAGGGTGGGGTCACAGGCCGCGGGATGCAGCAGGGAACCGGATTCTCCTCTAGAACTTCCACAGGGAACTTGGCCTCCAGAGGATAAACGTGTTTCTGAAACCACTAAGTGTGTAGGAATTAGTTACAGCAGCAGCAGCAGCAGGGAACCGAGAGAGCCCAGTGGGGAGCGGGGTCCGGGAGGCAGGCAGCTGCCTGGCTGGGACGAGATGTGACCCTGGATGTGTGGCTGTGTGGACAGCAGAGGCTGCCTCACCTCGAAAGGGGAGAGAAGGGCGAGGATAGGGAAGGCTTCCTGGAGGAAGTGGCGTCTACACGGAGGTCTGAAGGAGGTTGGGCGTTCAGTGGGACAGATGGGAGAGTGGGGGGCCAGCAGGGACTGCTCTCCAGGCAGAAGGGTCTCCCAGGTCCCGCATGGCTGCGGGTCAAGAGCAAAAGGAGGATGGGGAGAGACGAGAGAGGTGAGCAGGCCATCTCCAGGGCTTCGTAAACCTCCCTGGAGCATTTGGACTTTTGCCTCAGGGCAAAGGAGAGCCCCAAGTGGCAGAGCAGTAACCCTATGGCTTTTGTGCCTTAGAAAATCCCCTCTGGCTGTTATCTAGCCTAGAGATGGGTGGAGCCAGCTGAGAGCTGGGGACACTGGCTGTAAGGTCAGCTGGCTGAGGTCACAACGCAGGTGAGAGATGACAGTGGTCCAAAGGTACTGACAGGAGACTGGAGAGAGTGGACTGAGTTGAAAAGAGCCAGGAGAATCACGGGGGTGATTATATGTGGGGCTGAGTGTCGGGGACCAGCAGTGCCCTCGGATTCTGCCTTGGGCACTTCCTGACATGGGGAACACGGTGGGGGGGGGGAGGGGAATGGTTGAGTTGGGACAGAGGCTCAAATTCCTTTCCAGCGGGACATGAAGGCCGATGCTGGAGCTGGCTGGGTGGGAGGTAGATCTGGAAGCCACCATAAGCTCTGAGAGCAGAGACGCTGGCTAACACCTGGCGTCCCCAGAGTCCGGACACGCAGCAGGTGCTCAAAAGAGCGTGTGTTGCCTGGAGGAGTCGAGGGTAGGTGACTTTTAAGGGCTGGATGGAGCAGTTATTATTAAAACAAGGCTTTTGAAAAGCCCATTGATCTTGGTGACAAGGAGGCCACCAAGCGTTGCGGCAGCCTTGGCGAGATGGATTTCAGCAGCGCGAGTGGGAGGGGGGAAGCAGAGTCCATCAAAAAGAGCAAAGGAAGCCCACAGTGGACGGCTTTTGGGGTGGGTGGCTTTCAAGCTGGGAGAGAATGGACACGCTGCATTTTCACGCTCGGAAAACTTAACCCGGCAAAACTCCGGGTCCCAAGTCCTCCAATCTTGTCTGTTGGTTGTTACCAACCCCCTCCCCTGCCCCCCCCGCAGGACCTGGGAGCTGGGGCCTTCCTTCAAGGGGGCAGATAGCTGAACGGCACCAGCCAACCACCTGCCTTTGGGAAGACCTCACGGAAGGGGCGACTGTCAAATAGGGTCTTGAAGCAGGAACAAGAGTTTGTTAGATGAAGGCGTGTGGGTGCTGAAAAACAAAGCCAATGCCAGTCTCTGGGGTGAAGCAGCAGGAGGAAGGAGGGGAGGGGGTTGGTGGAAAGCACTTGGTTTGGACCTGGAGAGCCGTGTGGTGAGACACACATTAGCTGGAGCTGGGTTCAATTCCCAGCATTGCCCCTTGCTAGCTCTGTGGCCGTGGGCACTTGGTCCGATCTCTTCAAGCTCCTGTGTCCTCAGCTGTAGAATGGGGTTATGGGTGCCTGCTTGTTTAGGCTCAGGTGGGGACAGACCAAGTGCCGGGATCACACCACACAGACCCCAGCTCCCACAGATGCCTCCTTTCTGTGACAAGGGGACCCAGATCTTCTGATAAATATGGAACAAGCCTTTGAACCCCCTGTGGTTAAAAAGAAAAAGTCATTGCAATGAGACAAGCTCAAAATGCAAGCCACACTGTTTATTTCCCTCTGTGGTATGGATGAGACGAGCCATCTGCCAGGACCTCTGACCTCTGGTAAGGGTGTGTCCTTTGCCCCAGACCCAGCCCAGCTCACAGTGACCGTCGGGCATCTCTGGTCCCCAGCGGGGAAGGGCCGCCATGGCTGTGCACCTGTGGGTGCTGACTGGGGTGCACTGGGCTGGCTTTAGCCCTCTCCTCCATCCTCCCCAACCCAACTCCGTTGAATAGATAAGGAAAATGATCCTTTCCAGGGACCTGGGGAGACACTGCCTGACTTAGACCAGGACTTCGGGGAGCGCTGGGAAGGGCCCTCAATGCCATCTAGTCAATGCTTTGGTTTCCAGGTGGGAAAACTGAGATCCATGACATTGCCATGATTACAAAGCAGAGAGCTGGTCCTGGGGCCTGGAGACCCAAGGTCGGGCCACGGCCAGCTGGGTGGCCTCAGCACTTGGACTCAATACTCTTCTGGAGGATTCTGGGTTCCTGAGCTTAATGGTCTTCCCAAGGCCTGAGGACAGCCTTGACCGTGTCTGCCAGTGAGGCCAGGGTTTCCCCGGAGTGGACAGAGAGAAATGCAGAGCAGCTCATGGGGACAGTCCCAGAAGGCCGACAGGGCCCAGGGAGCGGAGGGGACACTCACCCTTGACATCAACTAGCTCTTCTAGGAAAGGAGCCACTGAGGGAGATGTGTGGGACAGATGTCCCCGGGGAACACTTCACCTGGGTGCCCCCATATGTGATTGTGGGGTGGGGGATGGGCTGCCCCAGATTAACGCGGTGGGGGTGGGGGAAGGCTGGGCCCCAAGGGACAGGCTGGACTCCAACCGGCGGAGTGACCTCTACTCGGATGACTCCTTGGGCACATATGCCACATTGTCATAGGCCGGGGGCGGAGAGGCGGCGGGGCTGGGGATGTTGAAGTCAGCGCTGAAGGCGTTGGGCAGGAAAATCACAGGCTGCAAAGAAAGAACCCCGGGACAGTCCTGGAGGGCTCCGGTGCCTCCGGGCGGCGTTGCAACAGTGCCCCCCTGTGGTCATTCTGAGAACAGCGCCCTAGCAAAGAAGTCCGTTAGGCGACTAGGCTGATTCCTCTGTTCGACTAATATTTCAAAAATATCTACGGGGGCCGACTAGGACCCAGGCGTTGGGAGTGCAGCAGGGAACAAAACAGACAAGAGTCGCCTTTCTTTAGGAGCTAAGTTCTGGTGTTCTTTCTCCCTGGGCTGCCCCTACCCTGATTCCCTCTGTTGGGTGTTGAAAGTTCAAGGCCCACCCTAGGATTGGTTTCCCAACCTGTGAGCACGCACTCCTCTATGCAAAGCGTTTCAGTGGCCTCACCTCCCAGTTTGCACAAAGCCACCTCGAGACCCTGTGGCCTGCATTCCACCCCCCCACCCCACTCCCCGCCCCCAGGCTGCCTTTACTCCACCAAGGCCCTCCCTGCCCCTTTTCTGTCCTCCAGATTTTGAGAACCTCCGCTAATTTTCCCCTGAGTTGTGCTGCCCTCTGTGATTTCCCATTTGCCTCGAGGCCTGTGAACTCCTCGGTGCGCAGAACTGCCCTCGGTCAGTCGGTCGGACCTCCCCCGGCTCTGCGTGCAGGCTCACAGAGCAGTTGGTTCGTTAGTGCTGGTGCCTCCTTGTGGCCACGAGGAGAATAGTTCCATTTCCCCCCAGAATTTCACTGGGTCCCCAGGCGTACAAGAGTGTGTGTGGAGGGGGGCGCGCAGTGAGGGGGGAAAGGGGCTCATCGGAGTGCAGTCCCTCCCAATTGCTTTCCCGAGGGAAGGAAGAAGAGGCTGGAAGAAGAGTCTTCCCAGCCAACAGCCCTCCTCAGAGGCCCGAGATGGGCTGGGTGTCTGGGGGTGGGGTACTCACCGTGTTGGCTTGAGCGCGGGTGGCTTGGCACCCAAAGTGGGTAGCAATGACCGCAACGAAGAACTCCAGGATGGTGAAGATGGTGAGCACGGCCAGATAGCCCCTGCCCACATCCTGGGGACCACGCCCACAGTCAAGGCAAGCCCAGCGCTATGGGGGGGAGGGGAGGAGGAAGGGCCCCAGAGGGACCGTAACTTGCCCGAGGTGACACAGCCAGGCCTGCAGTGTGGCCTCCCCTTCCCTCTTTGGGGCTGCCTCTCCGTGTCCCCAGGCCCATTCTTGAGAATAGGGTCACGGGGTCTATACACCCCCCCCCCCATGGGGTCTGTGGGAAGTGACAAGCTCTGCCCAGGCCCAGGACCCTGGGGCTACTGGAGCTGCACACTCTCGCCTCCCCCCACCTCCTGGATGTGGCTCTACCATCCTCTCCACTCCGGGGGGTGGGGGTGTCTCACAACACACCCAGTTAGTGACACCGAAATCCATGAGCAGAATGGCTGTCCCCGCAAAGGCCGCCGTGGCACTGAGAATGTTTGTTCCCAGGCTGCTCCTCACCTGCAGGACCGAGAGAGAAGGGAGGGAGAGGAGCAGAGGGAAGAGGCCAGGAGGGGAAAGGACAGAGGAAGGAGGCAACAGCCCACCCCGCCCCACCCTGCCACGTTTCCTGACCCCTCTCCCTTCAGGGTCCTCCTCCCATGGCCCAGGGGCGGCCCTGCAACCTCCCTCACCTCCGACCTCCTCCTCCCCCCCTCCCTCTCCCCCTCCCCTCCTCCCGCTCCCTCTCCCCCTCCTCCCCTCCCTCTCCTCCCCCTCCCCTTCCTCCCCTCCCCCTCCCTCTCCTCCCCCTCCCCTTCTTTCCCCTCCCTCCCCTCCTCCTCCCCCCACTCAGCCCCTGTGGGCGGGGTCTGCACAGGCTCCTTGCTCACCCTTACAGTGTCTGCCCCCCACCCCCAGGGCCTCTCTGTGGACACTGAGGCCCAGCTGGGAGGGGTGTCGGGTCATTTCCATGAGGCTCCACACTGCAGGCCCCTGGGGGGGGGGGGGGGCAGGGCAGAGACTAGAGGCAGGTGCTGAGGTGAGGGCAGGCCAAAGCCTCAGGGGGAGGCCCAGGGCTTCAGGGCAAGGGCCTCTCTGGGTGGTCCGGGGCTCAGCCTCCCTCGGCAGCCGAAACCTGATGCTCTTTTGACCCAGTAGCTGGAACCTTCTGGCTAATAGCCCTGGCCTTAGACTGGGGGACTGGGACTCCAGGATGCACTCAGGTTCAAAGATCCCCACTCCTCTTTTTCTTTCCTGCTTTTTAGGACATCAAGGAGGTCACCGAGACCCCGGTGGCCTCATAGGAAATCAATTAATTGGTTAATGAATCCAACTAAGTGCTATTGAGTATGTGCTGCGGCCAGACACTGTCGAGGCGCTGTGAGCACAGGGACAAGGAGTCAGGTCCCTGCGCTCCTGGACTTTACAACCCGAGGGTCCCCGAGTCCAGTCCTGCCCGGTTATGATCCATTCTCCACCCGGTGCCCAGCACCAGACAGCTGCCAGGAGTCCAGATAGGAGAGGGAGCCCCTGCTTCTGCTCTCAGTGGCCCCCCTTAAATAAAGGCCCTACAAGTAAAGTCCACGGTCTCCTCTAGGCCCTGATTCATCTCCCTCCCCTCTCCCTCTCTGCCTCCCCCATCTCACAATCCGCCCTGGCTCCTTCTGTCCCCATGGCCACGCTCTTCCCCACGTTGTCTTCCTGCGGGGGATACTGGTCCCGGGTTCTTCAGTGACTGTCTCCCTCTGAACAGGGAGCTCGTGGCACCCGCCCTGGGACCCCAGACTGTCCCCGCTGAGCGGAATGACTCACATTATTTCCCCTTGTCCCTTTTGTTCCCAGGCTCTGTAACTACTTTGTTACTAGACACGGAGTGTAAACCCCAGGAGGGCAGGGCCGTGGCCTTCACTGCTGTGCTCTCTGAGCCTGAAGCTTGCTGGCTGAATGCGCTCCCTGCAAAGCCCACCTTGCCCCCCATCGCCCGCAGACGGGTCCCCTCTGCCACCAGGTGGACTGAGTGCATCTCTCTGTCTGATTTCTTTCCGCTTGTCTTCCCAGACCTCTGCCCTGGTCACATGGAGCCACGCATGGTTTCCATAGCAACCCTGCCCAGGCCTTCTTGTCTTCTCATGCTTTTTCTGTCGCTGCCTAATTTCTAAATCCTCCCCGCCCGCCAAGGCCTAGCTTAGCCTCCTCCTCTTCCAAGAGACTTTTTGATCTTCCCTTTCTCCGAATGACCATGAGCACTCACTCAGTGAGCGGACCCTCACTTTCTGTCTTGTACTGTGTGTCGAAAGTGTATCTTGGTTCCTCCTGTCCTGTGTCCGGGCTGTCTGGGTGTCCTCGGGCTCCTGGCACTCAGCAGGCCCCCAGGGAATTCTTGTTGAATGAATGAATGGATGGGAGGGGCAGAGTGGAGCAGAATCAGCCGTGGTGGCCCGAGTCCTCCATTCAGACTTACGAGGCAGCTGGTGTGGCTCTTCTCGGCCGCCACGGAGAGGGATCCCGAGATGACGAACTGTGTGGGGAAGAGGGGACCCCGGTGAGGCTTCGGCCAGGACATGGGGCAGGCCACACCATGCCTGGGCTCTGTCAAGGCCATGGGCACCAGGGGGAGGGCAGCGGCTTCTTGGCTGTCACCTTCCCTGCCTCCTTGGGATCTCTCTGTAAGGGTGTCCCCTGTTTACTAGGGGCCCCTCCAAGTAACCAGGGTCATAGTTGACACGGTGAATGTTTTCAAGGGGCGTCATTCACATCTCACGCAAATCTGGCTCTCTCTAAAGGGGGAGTTGGTGCAAAGTGACGGTCACCATTTTGCTGCAGAATCAAGCATCGGTAATTAGCGCCTACACGCATTAGCCTTTGATTTCCTCAAACTATGGGGCAGGCAGGGCCAGGACTATGAATTTTATTTTATTTTATTTTATTTTTTTAATATTTTTATTTATTTCTAGGAGAGAGAGAGAGACAGCGTGAGCAGGGGAGGGTCAGAGAGAGAGGGAGATACAGACTCTGAAATAGGCTCCAGGCTCTGAGCTGGCAGTCAGCACAGAGCCCGACGCGGGGCTCGAACCCACGAACTGCGAGATCATGACCTAAGCGAAAGTCGGACGCTTAACCGACTAAGCCACCCAGGCGCCCCCAGGACTATGAATTTTAGATGGAGAAGCTAAGCCTGGAGATGGAGTGACTTGCCTACGGGACTCCACGGTGACCCACGGGCGCTGGGATTCAGACCCCACTGACCGCATTCCCAAGCCTGCGCAGAGGTGAAAGGTGAGCCCCAGATGGCCCCGGCACTCACGCAGGCTCCTCCCCAGAAGGGGACGCCGCCTTCGATGAAGAGCATCCCCACGTGGCCGCGGCGGACCATGAGCAGCACGCTGCCGAAGCCCAGGTGGATGAGGCCGATGAGGATCTGGACCGTCTGCGGGAGCGGGCGCTGCTCAGCCCCGCGGGCGGGCGGGCTCCACACCGCCCCCTGCCGGCCGCGGGGAGAGCGTGGCAGGGCCCTGCGCTCCACCCCCACTCCCGCCCCCCCCCCTTCCCGCAATGCTTGGAAATAAACTCCCCTTCTGCTCTTTCGAGTACACATCCTTACAGCAACCATCGAAGACTGTTTTAAGAAGGAAAGCCAGCTTCCACGTCTGCGGGACCCCCCCACCCCCACCCCCTGCCTGTTTCCATGGATCTGCATCTGCTTTGGGCTCTGACCCATGGATCTCCCGCATCTCTCAGTGTTGCTACTTGGTCTTCTTAGTTCTCATTTCAGTGGCACGACGTTCCCTGCACCGAATGCTTCACCTGCTCCCTCCTCATCCCCCTGCAGCCTGCAGAGAATCTCTCCTGGAGCATCTCTCTCATTTGAGTGTCCACCACCGATCTATTCCAGCTGTGTGTCCTGCTGACGTCTGGACTCATTCCCACCTCAGGGCCTTTGCACTTGCTGTTCTCCCACCCGATGAGCCCTTCCCCTTGCTCCTCATGCTCCCTTGGCTTCAGCATCCAGGTTTTAGCTTCCATGCCGTGTCCCCACAGAGACCTGTTTGTCCCCGGTCCCTAGTGTTGCCTCGCCCGCATCCGTCGGGATGACCTCGTTACCCTATTTGGAGTTATCTTAGCCATTTGTTTGCTGGGGTGCTCTCTGTGAGCTCCGGGGTGGGGGGCAGGTCCGTCTGTCTCGTGCACAGCTGAATCCTCAAGTCCTCACTAGTTGTTTACAGACTGCCTGTCCCTTCCCGAGGTGTCCGTGAGCTCCCTCCCTGCCCAGCACCTGTGCGCACAGGCATGCCTCAGGTGGCCCTGAGTGGGGGAGGGGGCTCTCCTTACCCCTAAAGCTTTGGGCTCTCCGGTCAGGAATGTCTCCACCGGCCGCAGGTCAGGCGGCTGGGTGGCCCTTGGCGTCTGCGCGCCCAGCGGCGGCTCCTCAAACTGCATCACCCCGGGAGGCTGGCACATGGAGGGGGGCAGCACGGCCGGAGGCGGGCGGAGGCCCCCGGCGCCGCTGGGCGGGATGACGACGAACACCCCATTGCTGGCGGGAGCTGCGGACATGGTGCTCCGACGGCCTGCGAGACGGGGGCTCGGGAGAGAACGATTACAGTGATGGTGGTTACACATGTGCACAGAGCCTTTTGGTGTGGGAGCAACGTGCCCGCTCGCTGCAGTCCCTGAGGACGGCACCCAAGTCACTGATTGTCACTGGCGAAGCCTCACCCCAAGAAGTGAAGGGATGTCCTAGATCAAGGGCCTCTAGGTGATGCAGGGCCAAGACGTGAATTCCCGTCTCTGACCCCAGAAACCCCGCTCTGTGCTGCATTACAGGGAAAGGACCTTTAGGAGGACCATGTGCTTAAACCACCTCCTTTCTCCAGAGAGGGCAAGTGACTTGCCCAAGAATGCACAGCTAGGGTGAGGCAGGGCTGATCCACCCAGGGTTTGGAACTCACTTGCCATTTCCTGTCCCTTAGCCCAGGCCCATGAGCTTGTATAAACAATGTAGCTGAGAATTGCTGGCCTGAGCGGACACTTTGGGGAGAAGTGCCCAGCTGTCAGAAGGTGAGCTTACTCGGACACAGAAGAGTGGCCAACAAATCTGCCAGCTCACACACTGAAATTAAAATGTCAGCCTTCTCATTGGCATTAGTTGGTTCAGTGCAGGCTGTGGAGATAGAGGTCAGCGTTTGAATCCTGGCTCCTCCTGTTACCTGAGACGTGGGACAAGATGCCCCCCCCCCCGCCTCCGTTTCCTTATCCATAAATTGGGAATAACACCGCTGTGACCAATCTCATAGGGTTTGGCATGAATTAGATGAAATAATGCACATGAACTTGATTAAAGCTGTCTTTTAGAGTGATTCGTTATAATGCTATTTGCATAAAATGTTTTATTTTTAAATATTATGTATGGGGGTGCTTGGGTGGCTCAGCTGGTTAGGCTCTGACTTCGGCTCAAGTCATGGTCTCACGGTTTGCTGGTTTGGGCCCTGCGTCGGGCTCTGTGCTGACAGCTCAGAGCTTTCTTGGGATCCTCTGTCTCCCTCTCTCCCTGTTCCACCCCCCTCCCCCTTCCAAAAATAAATAAACATTAAAAAATAGTAGGTATAAACAAGTCATGATAAACAGTTAATTTTTTTATCTTAAAAATTTTTTTAATGTTTGTTTATTTTTGAGAGAGAGAGTGAGAGCAAGGGAGTGCAGGGGAGGGGCAGAGAGAGGGGAGGAGAGAGAATCCCAAGCAGGCTCCACGCTGTCAGCACAGAGCCCGATGCAGTGCTCGATCCCACGAACTGTGAGATCATGACCTGGACTGAAATCAGGAGTCGGACTCTTAACCAACTGAGCCACCCAGATGCCCCGAACGGTTAATTTTTAAAACTATTTCACAGTGCCTTTTTCCTGTGCTCTGAGAGCTTTCATGCCTGTTTCTCAGGGGAGAGCCAGCTTGCAGACCAAGCAGCAAATCCTCTGTGGCTCTGTCAGGCTCTCCGCCGACAAGGGCTCAAGCCTCCCTGTGGTGGGGTGACCACGCTCAAAACGTGGGTGTCTTCTAGGAAACCTCTGAGCCATTTATTTGGGACACATCGGTGGGGAGAGCTGAGCCTTCTGTGAAGGAAACAGAGTGACGAAGACCCACAGGCTGTGACACAAAGTTTTCCATGGCCGGAGGCATCGCCACGGACTCGGATGCGGGGCCACGAGTCTGCTGGCGTTCAGGGGGTGACGGAAGTCATCTGTCATTTCGAAAGGGCTTCCTAACACGGTCCCCCGCAGCCTGGGAGGGGTGACAACGTGCGTTGCCACAGACGGAGCCACACACGGATTATGCTCCAACTTCCCCACGAAGCGCCCACTCTCCTGGGACTCTCTAGAAACTCACACCGAAATGATTATTACTAGATATGAAAACTGCTAAGCACGGAGCTGGCAAGTGTCTGTAAAGAGTCAGACCGTGAATATTCTGGGCTCTGTGGGGCCCTCGAGCCTCTGTGGCGACTTCGAGCCTTCCACAGTCATGGACACAGGCCACACACGCCCAGACCACATTTACAAAGACAAATGGGGCTGGGTCTCGTCCGTGGGCTCCAGGTTGCCAGCCTTGTTCCGGGGTGACGCCGGGCATGGGAAATGCTCAGTACATTTCAGCTACTGCTTCAGCTATTGTTGATGTTGATTATTTGCTGTGCTTTTGGGCAAGATGTGAAACTGCACTGAGCCAGTCTACGAGCCTATAAAAACAAGGATAATGGGCACCTGCCTCGGAGTTTACAGTGAGGCTCAGAAACTGGCGAAGTGCTGTGGGTGCGTCGGGGGGTCCCTTTCGCGTTCCAGTTTCAAACTTATGTTGATATGATCCCATCCCATTGTGAATGTCTCTGGAACTTTCTAGACCAATTCACAGTGATGGAGCTCTACCCTGCTTCACGCTGCTGGCTACCAGGCTAACAAGAGCTTATAATAGATATTGTTTTATAAAGTTTTTTTTTAATGTTTATTTATTTGAGAGAGAGAGAGAGAGCATGTGTGGGAGGGGAGGAGAGAGAGAGGGAGAGAGAGAATCCCAGGCAGGCTCCATGCTGTCAGCACAGAGCCCAGTGTGGAGCTCGATCTCATGAGCTGTGAGATCATAATCCGAGCTGGAATCACGAGTCGGATGCTTAGACAACTGAGCCACTTAGGTGCCCCTAGATATTTTTTTTGAGGGCTTACTCTTTTCCAGCCACTTTATATATGGTATTTCTTATCCTCAGAATATGCTTTGATGATTCCTGAAGGTTTATTTTACAGACTCTGAGCAGTAGAAGCGTTGCTCCAGGAGACATTGTTCCTAAGTGGCAAAGCCGGCGTTCAAGTCCAAGTTAGCCCATCTCCAAAGCCTGCCTGTGTCGCCCTGTTGCTACCCCAGTGGCCGCCGTTGTTGCTATTGACTCATTGTTCTAGCTTTTCCAACCTGGGTGCCTTATGTCCGGTGTGGCCACATGACTTGTTTTTATTAAATAAATGTGGTTGAAAGGACACACACAGCTTCTGGGCGGAGGCATTTAGGCATCAGAGAAAGATACCACAGGGCTCTTTTTCTCTTTGTCGTGGTGATGAACAATGTCCCCACAGAGGCCGCTCTATCTGCCTGGGTCCCTGAGTGAGGACGACAGGGAGAAGAGCTTCCAGGGGACAGGAACACAAGGCAGAGATAAACCTTTATGGGGCTGTTTGTTACAACAGCATCACTTAGCTTCTCCTGACTGTTACACTCTTGAAAAATGAGTGTAAATAGGGGTCAGACACAGGGCCCATGTCCTCCAGGGGCCTAGAGTCTAAGAAGAGAAGCAAGAGGAGTTTGCCATTCAGTCCAACAGACAGTTAATCGGCTGTCACCTCCCTCACCCCACGCTAATCGCTATTCTCTTTTTCGCTTTTTCAATCTCTTTGTCCTTCTCCACCCATCGGTCTACCCTGCCCTGTCAGACATATTTGAGAGGCGTACACAGTTGCGGAGGACTCGGCCAATGATGGCCAGGACAGGCAGCAGGAAGGAAGGACGGGAGTCTGGGCCCAGAGGGACCACCAGCCCCACAGGTCTTTGTCGTGTGGTGTGTGAACTCGGACCACTGAATCCCCTTCTTGCTCTAAGGGAGAGACAGCCTTGGGCTATTAGTTGTTTTAGACATGAGGAAACGGAGGTTCAGAGAGGGTGAGGGTGTCTCCCATGGTCACACAGCACCTCAGTGGAAGAACTGGTCTGGGCCCTGGACTGCTGCCTTCCTGGAGGAGGAGCGCTGGCTTTCACGAACTCGCTCACTCCTGGGTTTGGCCCCTGCCTTTGCCAGCACTTGAGCCCCACTCCCTGGAGTGACAGTTCTGAAATGCTCTGAGTCCGCAGAGCCGCACGTTCAAAAGAAATGACTGAGCGAGTCTCCAACTTTCTGCCTCCCCAAGGCAGTTCACTGGAAATCACCCATGTCCTCGCCAGCATCTAGAAGGGGTCAGTAGCACCCGAGAGGAAAGAAGGGCAGGATTTTAGGGTAAAAAAGACAAATGCTTTCAATGGAGCTAACCTCACTGCTTTGCCTGTGGAGCTGGCCCTTCACTGGGGACGGGGACGGTGAACATGGGCCGGACACCCAGGACAGGCCGTGGTTAGTGCAGGCGGCTTCCCTGGGTTCATCCTGGGTGCTGAGCAGCCCCCGGAAGGGAGCGAGTTGGGATTAACAACATCTCTCTCCCGGGCGGGAGGTGAGGCCTCACCCTGCTCTGGAGAAGACAAAACACCTCCAGAAATAGGCTCTCTGCTGCTAAGGCCGGCTGGGTGGCAGCCCCGGCACGAAAGTGTCACATAGCTCCTGAGACTCACAATCCCCCCTCTCTCCCCACCCCTGCAGCCTCCACCAGCACCTTGGCACCCTCAGGCCGGGGACCACCCCTCTACTACTCCTGGCCTGCACTGCCAACTCTGACACCCAGAAAGAGAACTCGGCTTTCTTTACCAAACCAACCAGCCAGCTCGCCCTAAACACCATGCATGTGCTTCAAGGTCGGGCAGGGGGAAGAGAGGGAGAGTCACGGGCCCCTGTCTCCAGGAGTGTACAGGGTGCCCACCAGGGGAATGACTGCCTGTGATAGATGCAGAAGACACCTAGACACCACCAATAGGCAAGGTATTCAGCCCATTTTGCAGACCGGTACACTGAGGGTCAGAAATAGCAGTGTGGTTGAGTGGGACAGGCTGTGGACCTTGCTGGCCCTCGGGCATGTTTGTCAGAGACATTAAACAGAGGTCTCTTCTGAGAGCATGCTAAGGGTGAGCTATGCCATGGATAGCCTGGTGGTGGTGGGGGGAGGACTTGCAAAGCAGGGGGCTGAGGACCTGCTAGATGATTTGATACCCGCATCTGCGGGGTTGGGAGTGCAGACTGAGAGAGGATTTGGGAGAGACATTTATAGGGATCTAGAAACGGTGCGTGAAGAAGTGTTTACCATCAGACAAGAATGATCGCTCGTTGTAGGGAGGCTTGGAGAAACTGATAGGCATCCCCTGGAATTTGGACCCGAGAGAG